AATAAATAAATAAATAAATAAATCTTAGGTAAATAAATGAATCTTAAATGAATCTTAAGTAAATAAATAAATAAATAAATAGAAATAAAATCCTTGAGGTAGAAGGAAACTGTCATATGGAAATATGGATCTGTATAAGAGAATAAAAATCACTACAGATGGTAAATGTTTTTTCTTGTCTAAATCTCTTTAAAAGTAATTGAGTTTTAAGAAGTGAAATAGTGATACATGCTTATTACATGGATAAAACTCTAAAGCTAAACTAAGAAGGTAAAGAAGCCATTTAAAGAGATCACGTGTTGTATAATCCCATGCATATGAAGCAGCCAGAATAGGCAAATATGTGAAGACAGAAAATGAGTATGGTTGCCTGGAACTTGGGGAGGGGATAAAGGATCAATGGGGTGTGATTGCTAATGAGTACAAGTTTCTTTGGAGGGTGATGAAAATATACCAGTGTTAGATTGTGGTGGTTACACAACTCTAAAATATACTATGGTATATAAAAATTTATAACTGGAAAATCTGCCAAGAAAGTAAAAAGGAATTATAGAAAATATTTAATCCAAAAGAGGGAAATAGAAACAAGAAAGAGATACCATTAGAAAGTAATGGAATGGAGGGTTTAAACCCGGCTATCTCAGTAATCACATTATATGTAAATGATCTAGATACTCCAGTTAAAAGGCAGAGATGATCGGATTGCTAAAGCAGACATACAAAAAAAATCCACTAAAAATACTGGGTTGTCGGAAAAGTCGTGATGGTTGTTTTCTTTTTCAGCAAAAATGCATCATGACTTCCAACAACCCAATATAAAGTCATAAAATTTTAACCAATTTAAAGAATTTCTAAAGGTATGCTAATAATGAAAAGAAAACTGGACTGGATACCTGTTGATGTCAAGGTAGCTTTTATAATAAAAATACTGCTGTAAATATTTAAGGGATAAAGAATACATTATTTCATAATTATAAATTCATCAAGGTGATATAACAACTAAGTGTTTGTATACCTGTTAACAGAACTTTGTAATACATGAAGCAAAATTGGATAGAGTTTCAAGGAGAAGTAGAGAAATCCAGTTTTAGTTGAAGATTCCAGTACACATACTTTTAAGTGTATTTAAGAACTTAGAGCATTTACCAAGATAGATCATATTCTAGGGCCATTTTTAAAAGTATCAATAATTTTAGAAGAATTCTAATCAAATGTAGTACATTCTGTGACTACATTTATTAAATTAGAAACCAGTAACAAACAGAATGATCTTTGGAAATATTTGGAAAGTAAATGAAATAAATGAAGAAATCAAAAAGATATTTAGAAACTATATTAAGCTGAATGAAAATGTAAATTCAAAACATCATTGTTTGTATGATGGAGCTAAAGCAACACTTAGAAGAAAATTTATAGTATTAAACACCCATATTAGAAAAAAATTTCAAATTGGTGACTTCAGATCAACTGACTGGAAGGGAAGAACATGTAAGATCCAAATAAGTAGGAGAAAAGAAATAATAAAAATCAAAGTAGAAACCAATGAAATAGGGGGAAAAAAAAAAAAACCAGAAAAATGAATGATCTCAAAAGCTGATTTGTTTAGAATATCAATAAAATAGATAAACCTGTAGCCAGACTTATAGGAGATGGGGGAGACACAAATTACCAATGTAGAGAATGAGAGAGATGGCACCTTTACAGATATTAAAAAGGTACAGTAATAGTAAAATAGTAAACAGATACATATACATAACATGTATAACAGCAAGTTAGATAAAGTGAAAGAGTTTCTTGAAAGACAAAAATTTCTAAAGCTCACTCAAAAAATAGATAACCTGGGCCTCCCTGGTGGCGCAGCGGTTGAGCGCTGGGTTGCGAAGCTGCCCGCAGCCTCTGCAGCACCAGTTCGATCCCCGGCTGCTCCCCGGTCACCGGAGGAGGGTCCCACATGGCGCGCAGACCTCTCCTGCCACCCGCTGCTCCCCTCAGCAGTGTACTTCATCACTCTGCCTGCTCTGCTCCCCGCTCTGGCTCTGGTGAATTCTCTCACCCTCCTGCGCTTTTGACTGTACCCAGTGCTTAAATAAATAAATAAATAACTTTTAAAAAAAATAGATAACCTGGGAAATTTAATTTATTGATTTATCATCCTTCCCACCAAGAAAATGTCAGATCCAGATGACTCCAATGATGAAAGTCTACCAGTTAAGAAAGAAATATCATTGATACTACACAAACTTCCAGAAAATTGAAAAGAAAGGAATATTTCTCAGTTTGTTAGGTGAAAGCAGCACTACCCTGATACCTCAACCAAAGACATTATAAGAAAAGAAAGCTACACACCTATATCCTCATGAACAGATACAGAATTGTAGCAACAGTTTAACATTAGAATCCAATTGTATGTGAAAAAGGTAATACGTCATTACCAAGTAAATTTCATTTCCGAATGCAAGGTTGATTTAACACTTGGAAATAAATGATAATGCATTACATTAATAGAATTAAAAGGATAAACTATATGTTCATCTCAGTAAACATAGAAAAGCACATTATAAAATCCAGTGTTCATTTCTGATAAAAAGCATCCATCGAATATTTAGAATAAAAAATATTCTTAATCTGATAAAGGACATCTTTGAATGGCATCAAATTTAGTGGTAAAAAAAAAAATCACTGTTTCCTCAGTGATCAAGGAAACAAAGATTTCCCTTTTTAAGCCTTGTATTCAACAGTGTGCTAGCAGTTCTAACCAGTGAAGTAAGTAAGAAAAGAAATCCAACCTGGGAGGGAAGAAGTAAACCTATTATTATTCAGACATCATTAAACTTTTATAAAAAATACTGTGATGGCTACAGAAATTCTACTGGATTTAGAAGGTTAAGTATATTAAGGTTTCACGGTATAAGATGGGATTCAAAAACCAGCTGTGTTTCTATAAAACAGTGAACAATTGAAAGTCAAAATTTAAAAAACTACCATTTGCAGTAGGATCAGAAATTTTGGAATAGTGAGGCAAAAAGCTGGCAAGCAGTGAGAAATCTCTACACTGGTAACTAAAACATAGCTGAAACAAACAAACATAAATAAAACATAGCTGAGAAATTAAAGAAGATCTAAATAAATGAAATATTTGGAAGCTGTTGAATGTTCAAGGATAGCCAATAAAATTTTAATATGTTTAAAATTAGGGAGAATAGGGCCTCCCTGGTGGCACAAGGGCATAAGTCTCAGCACCATCAAGCTATTGGCAGCCACTGCAGCACGAGTTTGATTCCTGGCCAGGGAGGTGACCCACATGGCACAGCAGACCTTTCCTGTCTTGCCCTCCATTCCCCTCAGGAGTATATTTCTGTCAATCTGCCTGTTCTGCTCCCCACTCTGTCTCTGGTGAATCCTCTCACCCCTCCCCCACACCCCTGGCCTATACCCCAGCTCTTGTATGCATAAATGAATAAAATAAATCTTTTTAAAATTTTTTAAAAAAATAAAATGAGGGAGACTAAATAAAGGATTCCCTGGTGTTCCCATGGTCCAGCCCACATCTAGGCCTGGACATCACATAGACTCCTCACCAGAGACTCGGATTCAGTCAAAAGAAATAAAAATAAAATAATACAGTCATTGTTTTCAAGGATTAGAAGACTCAATATTTTTGAGTTCACCCCAAATTTATCTTTATATTTAATGCATTCCCAATAAAAAATCCAAGCCACTATTTTTTAAATTTTTAAACTCATTCTAAAATTCATATGAAAATGCAATGGATTTAGAGTAGCCAGGCAGCTTTGGCAAAGAAAAAAGTTGTAAGACTTATACTCTGTAATTACAATCTTTATTATAAACTACAAAAACCAAAGCAGTCTGGTATTTGCATTAAGATAAAGAGTTCATTGCAACTGAATAGAGCATCAGAAATAAACTCATGCATTTATGGACAGTTGATTTTCAAAATAAAAATAAAGTGGCATTGGCCTTCTAAATAGCAACTCTGGAAATTAGAAGGTCTGAGGTGAGAGAAACATTTCCAATGTAAATATCTATTAATCAAAAACTATAATTTATAGCAGTATATTTCAACCTGCCTCTTCTGTTCCCCACTCTGTCTCTGGTGAATCCTCTCACCCATTAGCCCCACACCTCTGGCCTGTACCCCAGTTCTTGTATGCATAAATAAAAGCATTTTTTAAAAAACCCAAGACTATAATTTAAAACAATGGAGTGAACCAAGAAGAAAGGATAATATCCAGAGAGTAGATTCAAGCATGGGGTAAAAGAGAAGTAATGCCTGAAGAGTACACTGAACCTAGTTGTAAACTACTTTGGATTCAGGCAAGAAGATCTAAAAGTGAGATCACCAGCAGGAAAAAAGGAACTGATTTGTTTGAATTGACAGAGTATTAGTGATAGTGTATAGTAGAAAAATAGCAAAAATAATTGGTGGAACAACGTAAAAAATGGACACAATTTAAAATGTAACTTTTATTAACTCCAATAGAAAAGGTTATATAATTGCACAAGAAAGGAGAGGTAACTTTTGTGAACTACTTATCTATATAGTGTGCACTCTCTCCATAGTCACCGTAATGTAGATTGCATAGTCTGCATGAATATATCTGAATGGAAATAGGATTTAGTAGACTGTTTTCCAAATTGCTCAATACCTGAGGAAGCCGTTTATGAGAGAATGAGTGTTCTAAAGAGGCTGTCTGTTCTGCCCTGTGCCCTTTTATTCAGGTCCGATACTGGGTTAGTCTGTTTTTATCAGGACACTATCTGGTTGGTTCCCTTTTCCCTATCTTTCCTACTTGATTATAGGTTATTATACTTACTGTACTTCACTTATCAACTTATCAGCCAGTGTTTCTAGGGGGAATCTCTTTTCTAAAATAACTTTGTTCCTAATTTGTTTTGGAAAAAATACAAACATGATTATGAGTACCATTATTAATCTTATGTAAACAAGCTAGTTCATTTTTTTTTTTAATGCCCTCTAGGAAGTAAGAAGAAAGAGAAGGAACGGCCAGAAATCTCTCCTCCATCGGATTTTGAGCATACCATCCATGTTGGTTTTGATGCTGTTACTGGAGAATTCACTGTAAGTTTACCTAGTTATGACGGTTTCTATATCAACATTCAAACCTTTCCCTTCAGTATTAAGTTTGAAATTTCTGTCTATAGGTTAACTGAATTCTTAGTACTTTTCTTTTCCTTTTTTTTTTTTTAAGATTTTTTTCTTTTAAGATTTATTTATTTATTTATACAAGCACTGGGTACAGTCAGAAGTGCAGGAGGGTGAGAGAATTCACCAGAGTCAGAGTGGAGAGCAGAGCAGGCAGACTGATGAAGTACACTGCTGAGCAGCGGGCATGGCAGGAGAGGTCTGCGCGCCATGTGGGACTCTAGCCAGCGGCCAGGGATCAAACCGGCGCTGCAGAGGCTGCGGGCAGCTTCACAGCCCAGCGCTCAACTGCTGCACCACCAGGGGAGGCCCCTTAGTACTTTTTTTATGTTTGTGTTTCGGTTTTTCCTAGGGAGCTCAGCCTGTTAATTATAATTAACAATAGAAATAGCCTTTAGAAAACTAGACCGTTGAGAATTTAGGTGTCTAAGTATATATTGAATAGATTGTTTTGTATTGTGTATTTTGTCATTTACCTCTGGAAATAGATTTTATTATTAGAGTAATTCAAAACAACTAATTTCTGAATGTCTTTTTGTTAGGGCATGCCAGAACAGTGGGCTCGCTTATTACAGACTTCCAATATCACCAAATTAGAGCAAAAGAAGAATCCTCAGGCTGTGTTGGATGTCTTAAAGTTCTATGATTCCAACACAGTGAAGCAGAAATACCTGAGCTTTACACCTCCTGGTAAGACATCAGACAATTGTAAAAGACTGATTCAAATAGGATTGTAGAGTTGTGAAGCACTTCTAGATAAAAAGATTATTGCTGCTGGAAAATAAAAAGCTCAACTACGGTTCTTGTTTCTACTGCCCGCCCCCCCTGTAAATCTGCTTTTGTAGACTGATTGGCGCAACTCTTACATACAATTTGGGATCTGGGGATTCTATTAATCTTTTCAGTTTTTTTTTAAATGAAGTTGATGAATGTTTTGACCTTTTGTTTGTTTGGTTTTTTTGTCTTTGCTGCTTTTGAACAACTTTCAGCAATAGAAGGATAAGATACTGATTTATAAACTAAACATGTTTGTACCAGTTAAATATTACTGGACAGGAGAAGGATTGTCTTACTGTATATACATGTACATACTTTGAACTAAAAAGTGTTCAAGTTTGACAAAAATTAAAGCTTATCAAATAAAGAGTGAGCTTAAAATAAACATGAAAACCAAAAGAATTTATACTTCAAATTAAGGTATCATAAGGTAAATTAGAGAATAGTGGATTTAAAATATAGCTTGTTTGTTTACATCAGACTCAAAATAAATTCCATCCATTATAGTTGATTGCTTTATCATTTAACTCTTGCTATTTAGGCTTCCCCTACCTCACACTGGTTCTCATGCCCTTTTCCTTGTAGTTCATTTATTAAAGAAACTGGATTATTTGTCTTACATCTCTCAGTGTGGACTTTGCTAGTTACATCATCAGGGTATCATTTGAAATGTTTCACTGTCTCCCAAAGTGATGTTATTATCCATGTAGCTTTTAATATACTTGAATCAAAATCATACATGTAGTTTTAAGTAATTTAATTTTGTGCAAATTTAATCAAATTGTAATTTGATAGCATCCTCACAGAAATAAGGGCTATGCTCAAAGAAGAAATAGAGATTCCCCCAATAAATAATCTTCATCTTTTTTACTTTAGTCTGGTACATCCTTAGCAAAAAGTCAGACTTGTCCCTAGAAATTTTGTGTCAGCTAGGAAGTCTGTAAGTTAATTTTTTACCCCACTGTTTGACCAAAACATGATACAGTCTTTCTCATTACACACACACACACACACACACACACACACACACTCACTCACTCACTCACGCACGCGCGTACATATGCACAGTCCTTTTATTCTCTGGGCATTTTACATTTGGTGACAGACAGATGAGGTAGTATCTGTCTGATTTTTTTTTTTTTAAGATTTATTTATGCATATAAGAACTGGGGTACAGGTCAGAGATGTGGGGTGTAAGAGGAATCACCAGAGACAGAGTGGGAAACCAAACATACAGATCTACTGTGCCATCAGAGGCTTGCTGTGCCATGTGGGTAGCTCTATGGCAGGGGATCGAATTCGTGCTCTCTGGGCATTTTAAAACATAAAACAGAACAAAACTTGCTCTTCTAAACTCCAGAATGAATATTTTAGCTTTTAGTCTTTGTGAATTGTGTTTTATCTCTAGGGATTAGCTTTCATATTGATCAAAATTTTTGTCAAGAATTTTCCTTTGCACAATTGCCAATATCTTAATAGTTGCTTCAAGTTTCAATAGATAATTTTCTGGAGAAAGTATTGTTATGACTAAACTGATTTATGTTAATAGGAACAGATTTAACATGGTTTCAAAGAAATTTTTTTCCAATAAAAAAACTTCAAAATTTAGTTTTATGGAGGTATAATTTACATACTGTGAAATTCATCTACTTTAAATATATAATTCAAGTTTTCATAAATTTACTGCATTCCATTAAGATTTGAGATTCACTAACAATTATGTATAAATTCTTGTTTAAAAACTGATTTTACTACTATTTTTCTCAAGACTTAATTCAACTTAATATGAAATTATCTAAGAACATTTTACTTGTTCTGTTTTTTTATTTTTTTCCTTTGATTACATAGGAGTTGTTTTATTTTTTGAATTGTTAACTTAGCATTATTTTCTGTTTCATATTCAGAGAAAGATGGCTTCCCTTCTGGAACACCAGCAGTAAGTTTATGTTATTTCTTACAGCTTCTTCTAATTTAAGTTACCCCAACCAAATCTGATTTGTTTTGCTTTTTAAAATATTTGACAACTATTAGAAATAAGTACTTTATATATTTTTAGGTGACCATTTAATTAGTTGAGAGAGCTATATTAAATTGAATTTCCTTGATATAATACTTAAAGGCTATAAAGATTAAATATAACAACTTGTAAAGTACCTATATAGCATCCTCTTAGCATATAATGAGTTGTAAAGATAATGCCTTCTTTTGCTTCATTAGCCACCCATTTTTCTGGTGACTTTTTTTTTTAAGATTTATTTATTTATGCATACAAGAATTGGGGTACAGGCTGGAGTTGCGGGAGGGTGAGAGGATTCACCAAGACAGAATGGGGAGTAGAACATGCGGATCTACTGAAATACACGGCTGAGGGGAAGCAGTGGGTGAGACAGGAGAGGCCTGCTATTGCATGTGGGTTAGCTGGCGGGGATTGAACTCATGCTTCAGTGGCCAGCGATAGCTTGATAGTGCTGAGACTTTAACCGCTGCACCACTAGGGAGGCCCCGGATCTTTGTTTTTTATCTTAATAAAGTGGTTATTAACTTGTAGGGCTTGGTTTGAAGGCAATAAAATTCTCTCTATGAAGGGTGTGAATTCTCTTGTTACATTTATTTTATAAGTTTACTCTTCTATAAATTACAGAATAACCATTACATTTTAAATAGAACAGTGAAGCTTTATCATTTTGAAATTAATTTATTAAAGAAATGTGTTTTTTCAAGTGTGTCAAAAGTGTCATATTTTAAGGTATTGTTATATTTGACTTGTCTTCCTTGCTTTATTTATCTAACAATTACAGCTCAGTACCAAGGGATCGGAAACATCAGCAGTAGTAACAGAGGAAGATGATGATGATGAAGAGGCTGCTCCTCCTGTTATTGCCCCACGACCAGATCATACAAAATCAGTGAGTGTCTGCTAAGCGAATTCAACTGTGTATGTCTGCCTGAGTGGTTTTAAAAACAGCAATCTGTATTTGACTTCTAAGGATTATTTTTAAAATGTCTTCAAAATATTTTAGCATGGAAAAATTTGACTAGATCTTTACTTAAACACCAACATCAAAAAGCTAGTTTTCTGAAAGTTAAAATCAGACGGCTTATTTTTTTTTTGTTTATTTATATATTTTTTCCATCATTGTTCATTTTTTACAATTTATCCTTAGCTTCCCCCTTTCATGTACACACATGTATTCCCACCACCAGTTCACCAGTGAACCAACACCATAGTCCCTTGTGCTCTTCTTTCCCATTTTGATCCCTCTGCCTCCTTCTCCCTTGCAGAATGTCTCTAATTTATAGTTGCCTGTTAATTCTGTTTTTTTTTTTAATTTATTGTTTTTTTTTTTTTTCCCCTAATCCCTTATTTGCTTCCCCTGTATTCTTCCTATGCGTGAAACCATCTGATAATTTTCTTTTTCCTTCTGGCTTATTTTGCTGAGCATAAGTCCTTCTAGCTCTCTCCATGGTGCTGCAAATGGCATTAGTTTATCTTTTTGATTGCTGAATAGTATTCCATTGTGTATATATACCACATCTTCTTGATCCAGTCATCTATTTTTGGGCATTTGGGTTGTTCCCACATCCTACCTATTGTTGATAGTGCTGCAGTAAACATAGGGGTACAGATATCCTTTTGAATTAATGTTTTTGTGTCCTTTGGGTAGATTCCTAAGAGTGGAATTGCTGGGTCAGATGGTAGCTCCATTGTTAGTAGTTTGAGTAACCTCCACACAGCTTTCCATAGTGGTTGGGCCAGTTTACATTCTCACCAGCAGTGTAACAGGGTTCCTTTTTCCCCACATCCTTGCCAACATTTGTGGTTGCTTGTTTTCTTAGTGTGTGCCATTCTCACTGATGTAAGGTAGAATCTCACTGTGGTTTTGATTTGCATTTCCCTGATGATAAGTGATGTTGAATATTTTTTCATACACCTGTTGGCCATTTCCTCTTTGGAAGAGTGTCTTTTTAGCTCTTCTGCCCATCAAATGGCTTCTTTAAAAGTCAAAATAAAAAAAAACAAAAATACTTTGCTCATTTTTTTTTATTCTCTATTACATCTTCTCTTTCAGAGAATTTATCTATTTCTGTTTATCTCTGCACCTAACTACTGTATCTAAAACTTAGATCTTAACCATTTACACAAATTATATATCTTGTCTCCTGTTTTATATTTCTCTTAACGCTTTACTATCATTCAAAGAGGCTGGTGAGAATGAAAAATTCATAACCAGATATGAGGAAATTCATAACCAGATAGGGACATATAATATAATGTATGGGGAAAGTACTATGCAGTGGAGTGTAGGGGGTGGTGGCACAATTGCTGGTAAAGCTCTGAGGACTGCCCTTGGATCCTGATGTAATGATAGAAGTCTCTGTTTTCTTTATCTCTTAGATCTAGTGTTTGAAATTATATTTGTATAAAAAAAGTGTGATAATAGGGCCTCCCCTGTTGGCGCAGCGGTTGAACGCTGGGCTGCAAGGCTGCCCACAGCCTCTGTAGCACCGGTTCGTTCCCTAGCCGCTGGCAAGGGTCCCACCCAAAAAAAAAAAAAAGTGATGATAATAATAATTTCAACAATAGTTATTTTGCTCTTGAATTTTTTTCGCAGTAAAAAACATGATTTTTTAAACTTGTGATTTTTGCTTCATTGTTAGCATATCATAGATTTCATTAAACCTCCATTCATGGATCTGCTGTTTTGCTAGAAAGATTTTTTAGGTATATGCCTGCTGTGCCAAAGAAAAATGTTGCACATTTAATTCTTCTTAAGTATAAATCTTTTTATAAGGCAATTCTAAAAATACTGTTATCATTCTTCAGAACAGTGAAGGCAACTGAGTTTTGGTTAAAGTCAAATAATGAACAGTGTGCCAGTGTGACTACCTAAAAAATAATTTTTCATCAGATGTCAGTAATGACTTTTCTCTCTGCAGATTTATACACGATCTGTAATTGACCCTATTCCTGCACCAGTTGGTGATTCTAATGTTGATAGTGGTGCCAAGTCTTCAGACAAACAGAAAAAGAAGACCAAAATGACAGATGAAGAAATAATGGAGAAATTAAGTATGTTACTTACACATTATATTATTCTTTTTTTTTTTTTTTTTTTTTTTTTATAGAGGCATGTTTATTTATTTATTTATTTGTTTGTTTGGTTTTTGTTTATACATGCATTGGGTACAGTCAGAAGCGCGGGAGGGTGAGAGAATTCACCAGAGCCAGAGCGGGGAGCAGAGCAGGCAGAAGGACCGAGGTACACTGCTGAGGGGAGCAGCAGGCTGCAGGAGAGGTCTGCGGGCCATGTGGGACCCTCCTCCGGCGGCCGGGGAGCAGCCGGGGATCGAACCGGCGCCGCAGAGGCTGCGGGCAGCTTCGCAACCCAGCGCTCAACCGCTGCGCCACCGGGGAGGCCCCACATTATATTATTCTTAAGCTGTTAACAGCTCTTGAAACATAACCAAATGGATTTTAATTTATAACTTAACATTTTGACTTAAGACATAGGAATAAATTTTCCTCTAGGAATACTTGCTCAATTATAATCTAATGAAACCAAAATAATACTCTTTACTTGTTTATTATGTGTTTACTTGGGAGTAAAACCTTTCCTGAAAAGCCAACTCTCAGGCTTATAGTTGGAAAAGCTATCAAAGGAAACTTACACATAGTTAATGCTCTCATAACTTTTTAGTATGAGAAAAATGTCCCTAAATAACTAAATAAAATAACCTTCCCATTAGACATATGTGTAGCTTTTTCTCCTCTTCCTTTTCTTCCATCAGCTATTATTGGCATGGTTCACACATTGGAAATACCATACACCGTTCCAGGGAGATGGTAGCAATAATGTCTAATTACATATCTGTAGCAACTACAGTTATAAAAAATGGCCTTGAGGGAACAAGAAAAAAATACTATAACCAGAGTGGCTGTAGGCTTGAAATTGGGTACCTACATAAAACTGGATTATTTTTATGAGTTTCCATGATAATCCCTATCTCCTTTAACCTTGAACAAGTGTGAAAGTTTAATGTGATTTTCTCATGCATTGACTTAGCAGTAAAAAGAACATAAATTACACCTCTTATATAATTTATGCTTCCTAATTTTGAAACTTTTTCAGTTGTAACTTTGTGAACTTTTCTAAAATAGCTACACGATTAGTTCATATTAGAGCAGAGTAATTTTTTTAGTAGTAAGTGATTTCCTAAATATATTGAAAGGTTGAAGGAAGATGCATGGGAGTCAGAAAATTCATTTATGATTATTCACTTGAATGTCATTTACATATTATTTCTGATAGTAAATCCTTTCATTACTAATCACTGGTATAATTGAGAGGAATATGAAAGGTAGGATGATCAATTTGTCCTTTCCCCAGAAATTGGGCCCAGTTTTGAGGTTGAACATCCCCTATCCTAACATCTCCTCACTGAATCTTAGTCATAGTAGTACAGTTGGATATTCTAAAAGCATGATCAGTTTTCAAGAAGTGACAGGATGATGAGACATTGCTTAAGAGATCTAACATAATGGCAATAATACATCTTTTAGCTTCTGATAATTTTTTTAATTTTTTATACTTTTCTTTCTTTCATGTTTTGTGTTTCAAACATTACATTGTTTTTGAAACTCAGTCTTATGTTTGAAAATCACTGTTTTGACTTTACTGAAAGGAATAATGATATAATAATTTATAATTTTATAATACTTGACTAGTCTTCCAATTTTTGGTTGTTTTTGTTTAAAATAGGAACTATTGTCAGCATAGGTGACCCTAAGAAAAAATACACAAGATATGAAAAAATTGGGCAAGGGTAAGTATTTGTGACTGTATTAATACAATATTCACTACTTCTAGGTGTGCACCATGATACTCTTTTGCCTGCTGACATTGAGCACTTAAAATTCTATGAGTGGTACCCTTGGTTTTGTGTTTTTTTCTAGATGCTATTAAAAAGCTATCCTATTTAGTAGATTATGCATTGTTTCTTCTTACATGTTACTTGCCATTCATGTTAAGAGAGTAGATGAGTGGGAAAATTGCCCATCAAGTATATTTTAAAGATAATAACATTTATTGCAAGATTATAAGCAATAAAAACGTGTTTTAATCATATTGTTGAATATTGATCTTTGAGTACACTGATCTTTTTCCAATAATAAGTGTTTTTAAACTGTACCAACTTTTTTGTGCTTGGGAGCAAATGAGTATCTTGAGTTTGGCAACAAGGATAGCCTTTATTCTCCCACTTTTACTCATTTTTAAGATGTTAAGTCTTAAATGATCTTTAATTTTTTTTTCAGTTGTTCATAGTGTAAAATCTTTGGTTGCTATAAATTATACTGATTCACAAAAAATTTTTAAATGGAGAAAATAATGAATCAAAATAAAACTACAAACAGGGAAAAAGTGATAGTGATTTAGAATCTTAAATCTGTTTTTTTTTTCCTCCCTAGGGCTTCTGGTACAGTTTTCACTGCTACTGATGTGGCACTGGGACAGGAGGTAGCTACTCTTTTCATACCTTTGGCTATTACCATTAACTTTTAGTATAGAAGGAAACTTGATAAAACTGCAAATAATAAATAGGAATCTATTTTTCAGTTGAAAAAAAATGCCTTTTTTTTTTTTTTTTAAGTTTATTTATTTGTTTATACAAGCACTGGGTATAGTCAGAAGTGCGGGAGGGTGAGAGAATTCACCAGAGCCAGAGCTGGGAACAGAACAGACAGACCGACGAAATACACTGTTGAGGGGAACAGCAAGTGCAGGAGGAGAGGTCTGCGCGCCATGTGGGACCCTTGCCCGGTGGCTGGGAAGAGGATTGAACTGGTGCTGCAGAGGCTGCGGGCAGCTTCGCTACCCAGCGCTCAACCACTGTGCCACCAGGGGAGGCCCGAAAAAATTACTCTTATAGCACTTTTCTTATTGGGGGGGATAAAGAAGGAATTCTGTATTTAGTTTCTTAAGTAAGCAAATATCTTAAAAAATTATTTTCCCAACTGGGAGTGAAGAGGATTAATTAGTGTATCTGGGCTTATTTTAGGTTGTTTAATTATCTTTAAGAGAAACCTAAAAGTGTTTAAGACTGTCATATAGTTCTGTGCATATGTATCATGGAAATAAATAACTTGAGGAAGTTATAAAGTTAAGTTACCTTGAGTAAATTATAACCTCATTGTACAATTTGATATATAATAAATTATCAGTCGGTGTAATTTTCTAAAGAAATTAGGAAACTGTTGTGATTTTTTAAAAAATTGTTTCCATCATAGGTTGCTATCAAACAGATTAATCTACAGAAACAGCCAAAGAAGGAATTGATTATTAATGAGATTCTGGTGATGAAAGAATTAAAGAATCCCAACATAGTTAACTTTTTGGACAGGTAAAAATAAGTCTTTCTTAAATATTGGAACAAAAATATAGAAATTTTAAGGCTCATGATTAGACCTAGACTTAGAATGTCAATATTGAAAAGTAAGCTTGAAGGAGGTGGAGGGGTTAAAATAATACTCTGCAATGTAGAAGGTCCTTTTTCTTGTAGATAGTACTTGACAAGTCAAAGAAGGTAGTTAGATGAAAGGTATTAGTGATGTTCATATTCATTGCAAATGACCAGAAGTAGGAACAATAAAGAAAGTTGGTGATTTATGTTGACTGACTGAGGTGACTGGTCACACAGTTTTTAAACTTTGAGATCAATTTTTATTTCACATGCTGTCTTTTATGGGCAAATTGTATATGTCTGTCAAAGCCTCATTTAATTTAGGAATTGAAGTTAAAAAGAAAAAAATTACATAGTCAAAAAATAAAAGAAAATTTTAATAATATATTAGAAATAGAAGATGGCACATGATTTTCTTATTTCCATATTTTCAATTTATTTAAAATGGGGAAAAGATACATTTTTTAGGTTTCCTCCCTAGTTTGGGGTCCATATTCTTAGAAATAAACTTTCCAGATACATTTAGTTGCTTTTTAAAATAGTATTTCAAGGCCACATAGGATTTGATTAAGATAAGCCATACACTTTGGGATCAGTTATATTTAGCTTCAGATTCTGTTTCTCAACAGCTTTGAGATATTTAATGAGTTACTTAACCTCTCCAAGCCTTGTTTCTTTATCTGGAAAAAAAAGGGCAAATAATTCCTACCTTACAGAGTTATTTTAATGGAAATAATCCATATACCCATTCAAGTTAAAATTGTGGGCAAATTTTAGAGTGATTCAAGAAAATCATGATGACCCTCAGTTATTTTTCTATATCGTTGCATAGCAGCTTTTGGTTTGTTATCAGAATGCCTAACATAGAGTGTCGTGTTTTTAGAAAAGTAAAAATGTGAGTTTGCTTTGTGTATTTATTAGTTTTTGGTTTTGTAGTTTTTGGGTTATTTTGGTTTTGTTTTGTTTTTAGTTACCTGGTGGGAGATGAATTGTTTGTGGTAATGGAGTACCTTGCTGGGGGATCACTCACTGATGTTGTAACAGAAACTTGCATGGATGAAGCACAGATTGCTGCTGTATGCAGAGAGGTAAGTTTGCTTCACTTTTTGATAACTTAGGGTGATAATTGTGCCTAGTAGGAGGTGAAAGGGGGTAATGTTTTTGGCCTAGGTGATTTTATTATATAAGATACTTTCTATGTACACATTCTCTACAAGTTATTTCCACATCATGAGTGGAGAGTTCCAATCCCTTCCTTAATGTATAAGATAATTGTGGGATGAAGTGTGGACATTTGAAGAGCCCAACTTATAGGTAAATTACAGTGGGGTGATCATTGTAATTTTTCATGCAAATAGGATACTTTGATGTTTCATATACAGCTCAACAGCGGAAACAAGAACTATCTCAGACATGTTTGCCTTAAATAAGTCCACTTCTTATTCCAATTATCTTATTGAAGGTGAAGAAACTGGCTTTCTTGCTAATAATTGGAGAATTTCTTGATATTCATTAAGTAGTACTGTTTGCTCAAGTGAGTAGAATTCTGCCAAATTATCTAAGTATAAGCCAAAATAGAAACCTTCCTTCTCCCATCTGATCTTTTACTACAACTCAGATTTAGGTTAATGGTTTGCTTTATGTCATTGAAACTGTGATACTACTTCTAATATCCTAGGAATCATTGTCACAATGGATAACATTATTAACGTTCATAAGACCATTGTGTTTTCTATGGTTTGATTTTCAGCTTTTCTAGGGTAATAGGTAATTGGATTGGAAACACTGTTTACCTAAGAATGATACAGTATTTTCCTTTTCAGCTTTTATTAAAGTATTAAAAGAAGTGTTCTTTTAAAATTGTAATTCTGAATTAAGTATGCTCTACCCCTTTTGTTGTTTTAGGAAGGAAGGAAATAACTCTAATAATTATGAATATGATATCCCTAAACACATAATACTTGGCCACTTAAAAGCAGATTGAAACCTTTACAAGAATGTACTTTATTCTTAGTTTTTCTAATAATTTTTTTCACAATGACAAAATATTTTAGGAGTATCTCTAATTGTCATAAGTTTGTTTTTTTTTTATCTGTACAGGTGTTTTTCTGGGAATTGGTTCTTTTCAGTACTCTATTTAAATTCTTGGTAAATGTAAGATAATACACAGCTTATCTTTTGTTCTTGAATAAATAATAGAATATTTTGATGGGTTTTTATTATTAATGATGTAGAGACTGTTAATCTCTTGATGGGAGTGAGGCATAAAAACACAGTTTTTTCCTAGTTTACAACTTGCACTCTCAGTTTATGTTTAAAATCACCGGGGCAAGCAAATTTTTTAATATCTGATCTTGTTCTTATATTTAAGGAAATGGGAGTTTTGCCTCACTTTTTAGTCAGTGTTTTCTGTAACGTGGCATATGAAGTTATATTTAGGTTGTGGCTGTGAGTTCATGTAAAATCTACCATAGTAAGTGAAGAAACAATTTACATGACAGTGATGGTACCAGAGCATCCAGGATCTTATCCACTTTTCAGTGACTTGCATTGACTAGTTTTCTGAAAATTTCAGATTCAAGTAGGTATAGTCACAAATTTATCTTTTACTCTTCAAATGATTTCTAAAGAGCCTTGCATATGTTCATCAAGTGCTGTATACCTAGCATTCCAACTTGGAAAGGCCTAGAAATTATATAGACCCACCCATCAATTTTATAAATGAAAACATTAAAACTAAGTGGTATTTTTAGGGTTTTAAATAATCAGTGGCAGAGATAGGACTAAATAAATAGTAATTGTCTCTGGGTAACACCAGAGGAGGGAGGAAGAGGAGCTAATTAGTTAAGGCATCTTTATTTCACACGTAAGAGGATGCCTTTTTCTTTACAAACGTAAGTATTGTAGGGTCTTCTGCTGGAAACTAGAAGTAGTGTTGAAGCCATAACTGCTATGTGAACCTCTGGTAGACTTTAGAAGTCCTTGCATTGACAGATTTTTTTCTTCTGTTCAGTGTTTACAGGCATTGGAGTTTTTACATGCTAATCAAGTGATCCACAGAGACATCAAAAGTGACAATGTGCTTTTGGGAATGGAAGGATCAGTTAAACTTAGTGAGTAACAAATAAATACTCTTTGTTTACTGTAATCTTCTGCTTTTTCTTAAAAGTGAAAAAATGCTATTAATGTTTTTATAACTTAGTGTATGAAGGAGAGGGATAATGATAAAAAATACACTCTCAACAGGACAGCTACTACTTGCTGAATCACGGATTTCAAGAGGGTAGAGGTGGGACATGTAAGCCTCTTTTACCTAATTACCTTCTATATCAGATGTGGTTGAGTCATGGAAAATATTCTAAAGATCCCTTTCCTACTGGCTATAATCTCTCAGTTCCAACCATGCCCTCTTGAGGACAATAAATACAAAGTTGTGCTCTGCAACATTGTAAGAAAAATTTTTTTTAAACAAAAATATCTTAAATATCAAACAGTAGGGAGACTGATAATTTATGATATTTTTATATTCAATAATAATCTGTGGTTAAGGTAATGAGATAGGGAAATGTGCTAGTATAAAAAGCTCTTTAAAAATGAATTTTAAACAACAGCTTACCAGATAATTATGTAAAATAAACCAAGTAGTTCATAGATCTTATTTGTACATATATAACTGCATAACAAAAATTCTCAAGTTTACAAACATAAATGTTGACCGTATTTACAAATGGGGTAAAATGGGTTTAACACTGGAGAGGAGGAAAAAATTCTAGATTCTAACCCTGACTTTCCCGCTAAATAACACTGTTAAACTCTGTTTCTCACTTATAAAATAAGGTGGTTGGAATAGAATAATGCTGATAAGAACCTTCTTGATACAGTTGAATTAACTGTGTTCTTTTTCTAGGCTCTCTACCAAGTTGGATACTTAGTAATTCTAGCTTCTGCCTCTTCTCTTCAAAATAGTTACCACTTCTTCACCTTTGTCTGATTTACTACATGTAGTCACCTTTGGTGATTTTTTCTTTTAGCCCTTTTTCAACTATATCTTAAAAAAATTTAGGGTAGGGGCCTCCCCTGTGGCGCAGCGGTTAAGCGCTGGGTTGCGAAGCTGCCCACAGCCTCTGCAGTGCTGGTTCGATCCCCGGCTGCTCCCCGGCCCCGGAGGAGGGTCCCACATGGCACGCAGACCTCTCCTGTCGCCCGTTGCTCCCCTCAGCAGTGTGCTTCGGTCCTTCTGCCTGTTCTGCTCCCCGCTCTGGCTCTGGTGAATTCTCTCACCCTCCTGCGCTTCTGACTGTACCCAGTGCTTGTATAAATAAATTAAAAAAAAAAAAAAAATCAAAAAAAAATTTGGGGTAGAATTATTTAGAAGAAAAGATCTTGATAATTTACCCTTTATGCCCACTTATGAGCATTAGAAGTAAACAAATGAGAGTATGTAACATTAGCAAAATATTTGTTAATTCATTCTCGTTCACTGGTTTACTTACTAATGCAATTTTTTTTTGTTTGTTTTTTTGTTTTTTAGAGGCATGTTTATTTGTTTGTTTGTTTGTTTATACATGCACTGGGTACAGTCAGAAGCGCGGGAGGGTGAGAGAATTCACCAGAGCCAGAGCAGGGAGCAGAGTAGGCAGAAGGACCGAAGCACACTGCTGAGGGGAGCAGTGGGCCGCAGGAGAGGTCTGTGTGCCATGTGGGACCTTCCTCTGGTGACCGGGGAGCAGCCGGGGATCGAACCGGCACCGCAGAGGCCCTGGGCAGCTTCACAACCCAGCGCTCAACCGCTGCGCCACCGGGGAGGCCCCTACTAATACAATCTTAAAAAAATAAGAGGCTGACTAGTCAAATGTAATTAAGTGATCTAAAGTGAACTTTTGATAAAACTATCCATGGGCAATATTAACTCTTGATGTTCCCTTTTATTTTATAGCCGACTTTGGTTTCTGTGCCCAGATCACTCCTGAGCAGAGCAAACGAAGTACCATGGTTGGAACACCATACTGGATGGCACCAGAGGTGGTTACACGGAAAGCTTATGGCCCTAAAGTGGACATATGGTCTCTGGGTATAATGGCTATTGAGATGGTAGAAGGAGAGCCTCCATACCTCAATGAAAATCCCTTGAGGGTAAGACCAATTAAACCAACCTTATTTTACGTAAAATACTTTTCTTTAAAACATATAATTAGAATCTGCTTGTGCCAGGTGCTGGCCCAGAATTTAGGATGCAAAATTGATAAAATCTAGTCTCTGGCCTTACTCTGCAAATAAAAACCATTTGCTTCTAAGTTATTAAGTTGAATGTCTTAGTTAAAATGTTAGTAGATTTTCAGCAAGCTATATGGTTTCATATGTTGTTATAACAGTGACCATAAATGATCACACTTATATAATTTTACACATAAGTAAGAATTTGCTCATTTCCTATAAAGTTTAGTGTCCCTAGATATATACCCTCAGGTTATCAATTTTGGACCTTGGCCTCCATAGCTCCAGTCACAGAAAAGAGGAAAACAATAGACCTATGAAAAAAACTGTGTAGGTGGTGATGTTAAAGCCCATATGCAAACAAGAGTGAGGGTCCTGAGATACAAGTGAGATCAGTAGACTGTAAACAATTATATATTCCAGTAGTTGAAGTAAAGAGTTTGGGTGTCCTTCCTTCCCCCTTTTTTTCCTACTCTTAAATTATCATATATGGCTCAGCATCAGTAGTTATTAAGGAAATACAAATCTAAACCCCAGCAAGATACCACTTTATACCTACAAGAACAACTATAATCAAAAAGAAAGATAGTAACAAGTGTTGATGAGAATGTGGAGAAATTGGAGGCTTCAGACATGACTAGTGGAAATGTAAAATGGTGTGTATTTTCGAAAACATTTGACAGTTCCTCTGAAATTTAACATTCCCTTTTACCACTAGCATTTCCACTGGTAGATATATACACAAGAGAATTTAAAACTTACATTTGCACAAAAACGTAAACACAAATGTTCATAGCAGCTTTGTTCATAATAGTACAGGTGGAAACAACCTAAATAATAAACAAAAGTGGTATGCCTATGCATTTTAATACTGTTTGACCATATAAAAGGAATGAAATGCAAAAACACTGTAACATTGAATCTGAAAGCATTATGCTAAGTTAAAGAAGTCATACTCAACAGATCATACGTTATATGATTCCATTTAAGGTGAATTCTTAAGTTAACAAATACTGAACCACTGCTTCTTGGTGAAATACAGGGTTGGTTTTCTGTGAGCCTCTCGACACATTTTATCAACTGATAAATGCATAACCTTATATTTAGTGTTTCTGTTTAAGGACACCTAATTTAATACGTTGTTTGATTCAGTACTTAGTTATAACACCACCAGCGTTATAACTCATGCCTGAATGAAACTTATCAAACACCTGTGTTTTCTCAATAAGACACGTTCCAGCCTTCTTGCACTTAGGAATACTTAGCACTATGCTTTTCACCTCTCTGCAAGTGTCCGTCAATAATTACAAAAACAGGGCCTCCCCTGGTGGCGCAGGCACTTGAGCACAGTGCTGGGAAGCTGTCTGCAGCCTCTGCACCACAGGTTTCATACGGGCCAGCCAGCGAGATCCCCACATGGTGTGGCAGACCTCTCCTGCCTCGCCCACTGCTCCCCTCAGCCGTGTACTTTGGTCAGTCTGCCTGTTCTGTTTCCCGCTCTGTCTCTGGTGAATCCTCTCATGCTCCCACACATCTGGCCTGTACCCCGGTTCTTGTATGCATGAAGAAATAAATCTTTAAAAAAATATATTACAAAAACATCAAGAGTATTGATTTTGGGGTTACAAATAAATTTTAGCACGTAGCTGAATTCACATGTGTGGAATCTGCAAATAATGAGGATAAGCTATATATGAAAGCTCTAGAACAGATAAACCCATAGAGATAGCAGATTTGTGGTTTCCAGCAACTGAGAAAAGGAGGGAATAGGGGGTGACAGTAATGTCCATGGGAGTTCTTTATGGCAGGATGGAAGTATTCTGAAGTTAGTAATGATGTTTGAACCTTCCAGTGAATATGTTAGAAATACTGAATTGTACACTTTAAAAAAGTAATTTTCATAGTATTATTTTTAAAAGTTTTAAATTATCATATGTACTACAAACTTATTGCCAGAAAAATAAAAAAAAATTTCCCAAAATAAATTGGACATGCTATTAATAGGTGTCAAAAGTAATGTGTATGTGTAGGTGTTGCCCTGGCTTGATGGCATCAGATCATAAAGATCTTCTTCCTGAGTGTTTTTCATCCCATTGCAGAGACTCCAGTTCAAGTGAGCAATTAAAGTACTTTTATAGATTATTACTTTTAGAATATTTTTCAGAAGAATTTTTAAACCCTCTAATTCTACTCATTTGTTAAACAATGATTTGAGTACCTAAGTCTTTGTCACAGGCACTGTTCAAAGTGCTAGCTACAACAACCAAGAAAAATTCCTCTTCATAGAAGGAGTAGTGAGACAATAGGCAAAATAAATAAGAATATGTAATAAAGTGATATGTGGGGCCTCCCTGGTGGCATAGGGGTTGTCTCAGTGCTATTACTGCAATGACCTGAATTTGATCTCCGTCCAGGGAGTTAACCCATATGGTGCAGCAGACCTCTCCTTTCTTGCCTGCTCCTCCCCTTAGCAGTGTATTTCAGTAAATCTGCCTGTCTCTGGTAAATCCTTTCACCACCCCTACACTACACTTCACCAAAAAAAAAAAATGTATTAAATGATGCGCTCTTAAGTACTAGGGACAGGAAGGGAGAATTCAGTGTCTGATTTTGAAAAAAATACTAGGGGAAAACTTCACTGAGTGACATTTGAACAGAAGAGGTAAGATAGTGATACTCAGCTACCTAAGAGAAGGATGTTCCAATCAGAAGGAACAGCAACATGCAAAAGCAGGAATATTCCTGATGAAGTCAAAGATCTTGAAGGATTCCAGCATTGCTAACATGCAGTGAGCAACATAGCAGAACAAAAGGTAGATCAGAGAAGAAATGAAGCCAAACTGTTTATACCTTAGTAGGTTTTTGTAAGGATTCTGCTTCTATCCTAGATAAGGTGAGAAAATCATTAGAGTTTTGAGAAGGATTATTCTGACTGCTTTGTTAAGAAAAAATTCCTTGAGATAAAAGCTGAAGGAGAAAGATGAGTTAGGAGGCCCTTATAATAATTCAGGCAAGAAATCTTGGTATCTCAGACCAGAATGGTATCAGGGGAAAAGTACATGGATTCTGGATATAGTTTTAAAGGAGAACCTACATAAGAGAGTGAGAAATGACCCCAAGAGTTTGACCAAAGCACCTAGAATAATAAAATTGAGGTTTGCCTTCACTGAAATGGGGAAGGTTGCAAAGAGACTAGAGCATTGGGCATGGCAGCTGGGAGATCAAAAGGTGAGTTTTAACATGTTTTAGGCATGTTACATTTGAGATGCCTATTCAGACATCTAAGTGGATGAATTGGCTGTTGGGTATGCACATCTGAGATCCAGACTAGCGATAAAATTGGGACTTGTTTAGCTATAGAAATCCTTTAAATGAGACTCAGCAAGACTACCAGTTCAAGTAGGCCTAGATAGATAGTAGGAAAGAATCAGCTTACACTCTGAGGCATTCCATAGGTAAGAGTTGGTATGACAGACCAGTAAAGGAGACTGAGAAGGAATGACCAGAAAAGTAGATAAAGCCAAATAAACACAGGCCCTGGATTCTGCATGCAGAAAAATGAGTTAGAAATTAGCTTGTCAGAAGGAGCAAAGAATATGCATTGGAGCAAAGAAGGTTTGTTCAATAAATGGTGCTGGGAAAACTGGGTCGCTACATGCAAAAGAATGAAGCTTGACCACTACCTCATACCATACACAAAAATCAACTCAAAATGCATTAAAGAACTAGACATAAATCCTGAAACCTTAAAATACATAGAAGGAAATATAGGCGAAACACTACGTGATATGCACATCAAAGACATCTTTACAGACACATCACCCAAAGCAGTGATAGTGAAGGCTAAGATAAACAGCTGGGACTACATCAAATTAAAGAGCTTCTGCACAGCAAAAGAGACAATAACAAAAACAAAGAGAAACCCCACCAACTGGGAGAACATTTTTGCACACAACACTAATGATAAAGGACTGATCACAAAAATCTGCAAAGAGCTGATGAGACTCAACAACAACAAAGAAAATAATCCTGTCAAAAATGGGCAGAAGAGCTAAAAAGAAACTTCTCTGAAGAGGAAATGCAAATGGCCAACAGGCATATGAAAAAATGTTCAACATCACCTGTAATCAGGGGAATGCAAATCCAAACTACCATGAGATACCATCTCACACCAGTAAGAATGGCACATATTAAAAAAACTAGCAACAACAAATGTTGGCGAGGATGTGGAGAAAAAGGAACTCTCCTGCACTGTTGGTGGGAGTGCAAACTGGTCCAACCACTATGGAGATCTGTGTGGAGATTTCTGGACCTACTAAACATAGAGCTTCCATATGATCCAGCAATTCCGCTCCTAGGTGTTTACCCAAAGGACACAGAAACATCAATTCCAAAGAGCACCTGCACCCCTATGTTTATAGCAGCACTGTTTACAATAGCTAAGCTTTGGAAACAACCCAAATGCCCAAAAATAGATGACTGGATCAAGAAGATGTGGTACATATACACCATGGAATATTACTCAGCATTCAAAAAAGATAAACACATGCAATTTGCAGCAACATGGATGGCGCTGGAAGGGATCATGCTCAGCGAAATAAGCCAGGAAGAAAAAGAAAAATACCGGATGGTCTCACTCATAGCAGGAATCTAGAAAATTTAAATAAAGGACCAGGAAAATGAATAACTATAAGAAAGTGAAAATCAAAATCAACAAAAAACTATGAACCAGAGACACTCTATGGGGGGTGGGGGGCGGGGAGGGGAAGAATTGTGGTCAAAATAAGGGGGTTGCAATTGTATGGGGAATATAAAAATAAAATTTATTTAAAATAATTAATTAATTAAAAAGAAATTAGCTTGTCAGAAACTAGTTGTGTCAAGTAAGATGAGAAGTTGATTATTGGAATTGGCAAACTGAATTGTAGAAAACTTGATGTACAGAAACTTTTGCTTCCTGTAAAGATGGAATAACAGGAACCAGATTAATCCTCCTTGCCTGAAATAACAGCAAAATTGAAAGGAATTTACAGAAATTTCCCATATAGCCCCTCTCCCACACATGTATAACCTCCATTATCGACATTCCTTACTAGAGGTTATATTTCATAGTCAGTGAACCTACATTGACAATATTGTTATTACCCAGAGTCTGATTTATATTAGCATTCACTCATGGTGTTGTAAATTCTATAGATTTGGACAAATATAATGAATAGCATGCATTCATTCTAGTATCATATAGAATATTTTTGCTGCCCTAAAAGTCCTCTGTGCTCTGCTTATATAGCTATAGCTGTATCAATATAGCTAAGCTAATGTAGTTGACTAGCAAAAACCTTGAGAAAGGTAAACGAAATACAATGTATTGATTGTGTGATTGTGGTCATTTATCTCTATACCCTTATGTATTACATATAGTTCATTTACCGATATGTATCATATGTATAATCCACAAAAAAGAGATGAAGCTAATTTTTGCAAAAGAACTTAGGAGAATGTAAAATATAAAAAGAAAAGAAAAATATCTAATCAAAATAGGTTTAGGTAATAACCTAACTTTAGGATGATTGCCTTTAAAGAAGTAAAAACGGAGGGGGAGAGAGGATGAGTAATAAATAAAGACCTATAGACTTTGTAAAATACCACCTCACTTTTTGAACTACTGTATGTCTAAGATATTCTTTCATTTTTAGGCTTTATACCTGATAGCAACTAACGGAACCCCAGAACTTCAGAATCCAGAGAAACTTTCCCCAATATTTCGGGATTTCTTGAATCGATGTTTGGAGATGGATGTGGAGAAAAGGGGTTCAGCCAAAGAATTATTACAGGTGAATTTGGAAATTAAACAGTTTCTAGAAAAGGTTTCTTTTTTGAGTAAACAACAGGGAGTTTACACAGGATTAACAATGACATTTCACAGCAGCATGGCAACTGCTGCAGTTTAAGGTTTCATCTGCTGGGAATAAAATACCCATAATACTATAACAGATAAAAGAGTCTTTCATATTATCAATTCTTAGACCAGTTCATTGATGACATAGGTATCTCTGTCATTTAACTGAGATTTCATAGGAGAAAAACTAAAAGGCTATATTGCAAACTATTGATAATATTGTTTTATGCATATATTTATTAAGTAAATTACAATCCATAAATTAGTCTTTGGAGCTTAGTTAAAAGGAAAAATTTGTTTCTGAACTAATGGCATTTATATATTTGTTTACCTCTTTCTGGCAGCATCCCTTCCTGAAATTGGCCAAACCATTATCTAGCTTGACACCACTCATCATGGCAGCTAAAGAAGCAATGAAGAGTAACCGTTAACATCCTTGTCGTGGCCTCATATTCTTTTTTCCATTTTCTAAAAGAAGTATTTTAATATATGAAAGTTATTACTCTTTTGGGAGGTTATAGAGAAAAGGTCTGGATACAAGGAAGAAAAAAACAAACTACTTCCTGAAGACAACCAAGAGAAAATTGCAAAATAGAATGACAGCTTTCTATCGAATCCCTTCTTTAGGGTCCAAAAGGAATTGTGGACTGAATCACTAGCCTTTTTTCAGCAACAGCCCATTAGGGTCATTTATCGTGCTTGAGAATTGTATTTTATTTTGCTGACTGCATTGTAATAGATCCCATTCATTGTCCCTCTTGGGGTATTTTTAATACTTGAATGGCAGATTCGATTTTTTTCAAATTATTTGATTCATCTGCTAGTCTTCTTTAAGCTCTTCATAGCTTTTTTTCCCCTTGACATGCTCCTTTTGAGTTGCTTTGAGAAAGTTTTCTTAATCCTAAATTCAAGGCAAGTGTGATAGAAATTATGTAGCTCTTTATATTGGCAGAGGAGCTTGATATGGTTTAACTTTATATAGAAGTTAGGACCAGCTGTTGTTACATGTAATATTTCAGTTCAGAACCTGAACTGAAGGAAGGGAAGAAAAGTATGTGATTTTTAACCTTTTAACCTAATGTGAAAAGTCAGTTTTAGAAATTTCATGGTAGTGAGTTTGGCATTTGTTACATGTATAGAGAGACGACTAATAATCTATATTTATAACTAAATCATTGAGTCAGAAAATGAATTCCCATGGACTATATATCTTTACAGTTTTATTTTCCTTTTTGACTATATTCTCTTCAGATTTGGCTTCAGGAACCAAAGTGATTTGTTCTGGTTCCAACTTGGGCTCTTTGTCTTCGGTTGGCGCCACTCTTTTTCCTCCTTTTTTCCCCACCTCCCATTTATTCTTTCATTTTTGAAATGTTTCTGTATATGTTGTAATGTTAGTTTGTTTGTGTTTTAATTAACCCTTTCTTACCCTGTTCTCCCCTTCTTCCCCCCATGGTAAATAATATAATAACCATTGAATTTTTAGAAGTTCAAAGTTAAGTTTTTCCATTAAAAGGCAAAACATACTTGGGACTGGTAGAGACAAAGTGAGGGTCTTGAATCTTGGTGAGCTCTAAAATAATTAGATGAGATTATATCCATGAAAGAAATGTCAGTTATATAAAGGCACAGCTTCTAACCAGTAAACTATAGAGATTTGTTGTAAGTTACATTGTTCCCAACCCATTACCAACAAGTTACTGTCTATGAGAACTTAAGTAACAAATTATTGATACATTTAATGATCATTTGAGATGTTGAGTTACTTTTTTCAAATAAATAATATGTAAAAAAAGAAATAGAGAAAGGAAGAAAAATGTGTTTATTGATAGTAATACTTTTTTTTTTAAAGATGAAAAGGTCTGTGACCAATAGCATTATTAGAGGATCTCTCTTTTCCCTTCCTCTCTCCTCTGTCCTTGTTTGCCATTGGGGACAGTATTGTCCCATCTAAGAGGCCAAGAGCCACATACAAGAGAAAAATTTGTGGCTTAATTCTGACATTTTTCCACCATCCCTTCCTAATTAATTTCACACCTTACCATCCTGCACTCATACAAATCATGAATAAAAGTGATTTTAATGTTTTAGCTTTGCATTAGGGAAACAGGGGTATGTTTACTGTCATTCCCAGCATGTCTGTGTGAAAAATATACACGTAAGGATAAGAAATGGGGTTTTGTTTAATTAAATTGATAATGCAGAAGGATTTTCAGAAGAAATGATAAGATATTTTGTGAAACTTATCTAGAGCACTTAATGGTCTCTTCAACTTGATTCTTTGATTTTTGTCTGGATTATATTGATCTTGAGCTATTACTAAATTTACAATAACAGGCTTGTTTATTACAGTGCCTCTTGAATTCCAGATTTGAACATTTTTTGTAAATAGTTGTCTGAATGGATTCTGATAAAGAAGATTCTACCAATAACACAGAACAACTAGATAAGACTGATCATCATGACCACTCTGGAAGGCACTGCCATGCATAAGTCATAAAGATCATACTGATTGAATACAGTGCCAATGCCACATTTTTATGCTTATGACCTCAACAAAGGTCTTTTCAGTTTATAGAAGCAGTTTGGGATTTGTATTTACAACTTCTTTGATAGTTACCTGTATGTCCATTGCTGGCAACGGACTTTGTCATTAAAACCTGACTCCCAGATTAAGGGAGCGACACTGTGGTTTTAGTCTTTACTTAATTCAGATAAACTAACTTGTTATAGAAATATACTTTGGTTAATTCTAAAATGTGTCATTTTAAAACAAAATAATCATAAGCAATATGGAATTGTGATTTATTAGCTCATTTTAAATTAAAATGTTCAAAATCTGTTGAAAGAAAAATTTTATCTGAATCAAGATTCATGTTTCTTTTTTAAATAATTGCCTTTTATATTCACTTTGTCATCACCTTAGAATGAAAATTCCCATTTAAATCTAAATGTTTACCTTAATTGTCCTCTTTAGTCCTCTTGTGTAATTAGAACAATATTACTATAGTACTTATTTATTATATTTCAGACTTTGTCGGTCTTAAAGTTTCCTTCTCCTGTAGTTCCTTTTGCTGCTTTAAGGGACAGTTAAAACTGGGAAACCATGAAAATATTGAATATTTTATCCTACCTAGTATAGTAGTTGCGTGGATTGATTGAGATAGCATAAGAAACCAAGGCTGACACAACTCTGTCTTCATGTGTTGAATGCCTGGCACATTATATAAATTCTCTTCCCTTCAACATAGAAATATTAAGCTGCTTAAAATGTATTTAATTACCACCAATCCTAAACAAACCTGTGCCTTTAACAAGCAATTTAAAACTACCTAATGAGTATTTCTTTGTAGGGCTCATATAAATACATGTTTTTATATACTGTATCCTAGTCAGAATAATTTAGATCTGATCAGGCAATATCTAATGAGAACAAATGGGTGCTTAAAGAATTTGCATTGGTTTTTTTAAACTAATTTTTATAAAACATACTGAGATCCATATCCAGTGAAATATAAAAAAAATCATTATAGACTATAACTTAAAACCAAATTAATACTAATTTGGAGGTTTTTAACAATGGAATTTCATAGTAATGTCAAATGTAGATTGTCTTCCTTTCCACCACTGCTCCCACAACAGATATTTCAACAGGTAAAATCCAGTTTCCCGTGTGTGTGTGTGTGTAAGTGTGTAAAAGAAAGTCTGTGTACACACACACACACAATACACTTTTCCCTCTCAACACATTCATCAACCACTGTGGTGAAGACAGTGTGGTAGATGTGAGAATCCCAAAGGAGAATCAAGCACTGGCCTTACCTTGAGAGAGCTGAAGACTTTCTCATTTACCATTCTAGAATGTTGCCAAATGAAGAGGGGGAAATGTATAATTCTGTCGAGCAAATTTTCATTCTCAAGTATAGCCAATAATTGGAATTAAACATCTTTGGTAGGAATATGTTGCTTTTTCTTTTTCCCTTTGATATGTAGAAATGGAATTAAGTGAAAATAGTTTGGGTTTTTTTTCTGTTTTGTCCTCAAATTTTATATTGCCTTTTATTTTTAATTTAATCCCATTCAATTATTTAATTGTTACCTTGACTTTAACTGCTGTATTTGATGACTGTTCAATAATTTTGTTCTTTCAGGGCTAGAAATAAACTTTTTTTTAATGTTCAGTTTTCCCTTCCTAAACTTTCTTTTCCTTAGGCCAGAAAAACTTAAGTATGGTAGGTTTTCAAAGAGCATTCTAATATTTTTAAGGAAAAGTGCGTTTTAAACATGTGATGACACCATTTTGAATATATTACAAAGCTCCAAATGAAGTCCTAATTTCTTCATGTAAATTTAATTTGGGATGTTGCATACCCTGAAATGGATAGCAGCTGCAATACAGGGAGTTTACTGTCACAAAGCAAAATGATGTATTTTTTAGTCTAGAAAATGTATAGACGATTGCTGCTTAAAATATATTTGTTACACTATAAATTGTTCAATATTATTGTAACATTTGTATTTCCTCAAAACATTTGCCTGAGAAAAGTTCAAAAAATACCTGGATGATTGATTTCAGAAGCACTACATATAAAACCCTTTCTACTACTATGATATTTGTAGCTTTTTTAAAATCAGGGAATTGTTTTTTATGCTGTTATATAACCGGTTTTATCTTTCGAGGACAAAGGAGTAAAGCAATGAAAAGGAAGGAAAATGTCTTTTTAGACCTTTGTTTCAGGCTTTCAACAAAGTAATATACATAGATTAAAATTTCAAATAATCTTTAATAAAATTATTATGAGTAGTGCCAGCCCCCAGCATTATGCCTCCCCAATGCTGAGTCCTGCTCCACAGAGGTATCCTCTTTGAACTCTCTTTTCACTATACATTAATCTTGACATTTCTAACAATTACTGTAATAACTTTCTATTATGCCAGTTGAGAATTTGTGTATACTGCCATACATCCCATTCTCCCATTTTCACTTCCTCTAGTCTGAAGTGAGAGAGTTAGCAATTTTTTGATTAGTAGTCAGTTTTTAACCTATGTGGAACTGTTTCCTTGACTCAAGTAAATAATTGGCTATTGCTATGTGTCATTTCTTGTACCGCTATTTGCTTTTCCCATTGTTAATTTTCTCTGTTTCCTTTGAAAGCACCTCCCTATCAATTTTCCCATACTCACCACAAAATTACAAATGCCCTTTGAAGACTGACTACTCTCTATCCAATTCATTGTCTCAGATAAAGACTTCATTTTTCTCCCCTGGAATTAATTGGGGCTCCAGTTGAAACTGCTGCTCTCCAGGCCATCTGCCCCTGTGGCGCCCGAAACTCAATTGTACTTTGCTCCTGGATTAGGTCCTGTGTATCCTGAACACCAGTCTTTTTGCTTGATTTATTCCGTAATTTTTTTTTTTTACGATTTATTTATTTATACAAGCACTGGGGTACAGGCCAGAGGTGTGGGAGGGTGAGCGAATTCACCAGAGATACAGCAGGGAGCACAACAGGCAGACAGACCGAAATACTCTGCTGAGGGGAGGAGTGGGTGAGACAGGAGAGGTCTGCCTCGCCATGTGGGATTCTTCCTGGCCGGCCAGGAATCGAACCGGCATTGCAGAGGCTGCGGACAGTGTCAGCGCTGCGTTCAACCCGCTGCGCCACCAGGGAGGCCCCTGTTCCGTAATTTGTAGATGGACATCTTTTAGTAGCTTTTTGTGAAAAGGATACATAGAGGTGAGATTTTCATAAATTTATATGCCTGAGAACATCTTGCATTTAATTGATAGCACAGGATTTTAGGTTAGAAAACGCCTTCCTTGAGAGTTTTGAAGTCACTGCTTAATAGTCTTGAACGTGTTGTTTCTGTAACGCCTATTTCTTTCCACCTCGAGCTTTTGTTCTGAAACTTCATGAAGTGCCTAGCCGAGAGGGTATGTATTTTCATTGGCTTTGGGCATTTCGCAGGCCCTCTTGGTAACAGACTCATTTCTTTCAGTTCTGGAAAAATGTTGCATTGTTTAAAATAATTGCTGCTCGTTTCTGTTACTTTCTGAAATTCCAGCATTAATCTTCCATTTTTCCTATCTTCCTATTTCTTTGTCTTTTGTTTTTAACTTTCTGGGATAATTTCCTTGATTTTATCTCTGACTTTTGTATGTGTATCAATTATCATGTTTTTAATTTCTAAAAGTTCATTTTTATTTTTCTTATCTCCCTTCTCCAGAATTAAGAACAGCTTTCTGTTCTTACTCTATAAATCCAGTATCTTTCCTGGGGTTTTAATTATAAAGGCTTCTTCTTAGTTCAAGGTGCCATCACAAATCACCATAGACTCAACGAATTTAGCAACAGAAATTTATTTCTCACAATTCCAGAGACTGGGAAGCCCAAGATCAAGGTTTCAACAAGGTGGGTTTCATTTTTACAGTCCATCCCCATCTTGCTATATATTCACATGACTCTTTTTCTGTGTGCACGTGGAGACAGTAAAACCACTGGTGTTTATTATAAGCACAGTAATCCATCATGAGCTCCCACTCTGTTCCTGTGACATCTTCTACCCCTACTTACTTCCTGAAGTCCCATCTCCAAATACTAACATAGTGGACTTCTGGCTTAAACATAATGCATTGACAGGGAGGAAGGAGGCACAAATATTAAGTCATAATAGGTCTTTTTTTTCAAGGTTTTTAAATCTGGATTGTGTATTTTTTCCTGGATTCTTTTTAACTATCTTTTCACAAAGATTTTAATAGATGTCTGGTTAACGCTGTTTGTTTCTGTAACTGTAGAACACTATTCTGGCACTGCACTAAACAAATATTTATTCATTTACACATTCATTTTTCTTAATTCCCAGCTAGGTCCTCCCCTAGCACCTTGTTTTCTCCAGAGCTATCTCTTGACTGCCAACCCCCTTATCCCACTATTTCAACATTCTCTTCTACCTGCTGCCAGAATTTTTGGGTTTCTGTCTTTGCCTTTTCAGTGGAAAATGTTCTTCCTCTCCATAGCAAATCCCACCAAGAAAGAACCTGTTCTCCATATTCTGCCTCCTCCCAAGTCCTGTAGACATGGACTTATCTTGGCTTTCCTGTATCTGTAACCTGTCCCTCTGACTTTCAGCAGACAAGTGTGTTCATATATCTTCATTTTAAAATAAATTTCCTTGTGACTTGTCTGCCCTCAAAATATTGAGATTCTTGCCAGTATCACCAGTGATTGCTGAATTTCCTGGAGATTATCAAAATATCAAAAAGATGACTCAACTGTTGGCTCACGTGGTTATTGAGAATTCAGACAACCAGTTCTCTTATTGCCAGACTTCCTAGCTGTGAAAGAGGGCTTTTATTCCTCACTTTTAAATGCTATGGCCAGACCTGTACTTTTGGGCTAAGGTGCAGAATATTATGTGGGTATGAATTTATTCAGCTTTCAATAAGAGTATTTTCCCCATTTCATGAATATATAGTAAGCAAGCATCTCTTGACGAGCTTAGCAATTGGAAGGACGCAGTGGTGAGGATAAAAAAGCAAAGTCTTGAAAATTTCTTCACAATTTAGGATGTACATTATCCCAATAACAGATTTGCCTTACTGATAATTTCATCTAAAGTGTTTTTGTTCTCTGAGCACACGAATGTGAACATTCAGAGAGGTTTATTGAAGAATGTACTAAGTGGCAGGAGAAAGCCAACCCAGTCTTAAAAGCCAGTTATAGATTCTAGGTTAGTAATTGAGTTGATATGCCTTTGTATTTAGTAAAGAGACTTTATAAAGGTATTTTCATAACCTCAATAATTCTGATTATAATTTTACCTACATACCTTAGTTTTTCAGTGAGTAGTGGTGGGGTTTATAAGTTTGTAATGCAAAAATTGATTATTTTGAAAGAAAACACTCTGGATATATCATTTTTGGCATACTTGTTAAAAGATACATGTCACATTACCTTAGATCTACTGCCCCCAGTTTGTGTTCAGTAGCAAGTCAACATCTCACCCTAGTCATGCTGTCTTTTTTTTTCTTTATCAAAATGGTATAACAGTGTCACAAACTATCTGTCATTCTTAGATCTTTAAGTATGCACAGCATCATGAATGCATTGCCAAAACTTTTCTACTTCATTGTGAATTACTTCACTTTAACTTTTATATTTAAAGGCAGAAATGGGGCCTCCCCGGTGGCACAGCAGTTGAGCTCTGGGCTGCGAAGCTGCCTGCAGCTTCTGCAGCACCGGTTCGTTCCCCGGCTGGCCAGGGTACCACATGGCGTGCAGACCTCTCCTGCCGTGCCCGCTGCTCCCCTCAGCAGTGTACTTCATCAGGCTGCCTGTTCTGTTCCCTGCTCTGGCTCTGGTGAATTCTCTCACCCTCCCACGCTTCTGACTACCCAGTGCTTGTATAAATAAATAAATCTTTAAAAAAAAAAATAAGGGCAGAAATGCACCATTTTCAAAAACTATTTCATTTGCACCATAAAATTAAGACTTGGTCTAATAGAACAGTCTGATTTGTATATTGTCATTAAATTCTTTAATGGATTTTACAGTTTAAACTAGAAGACCTGGCCTTCCCTGGTGGCACCAGGGATTAAGTCAGCACTATGAAGCTACCCACAGCCACACAGTTCAATCTCTGGCCTGGGAGCTAACCCACATGATGCAGCAGACCTCTCCTGGCTTGCCCGCTGCTCCCCTCAGCAGTGTATTTCAGTAGATCCATCTGTTCTGTTCCCCACTCTGCTCTCTGGTGAGTCCTCCCACATCCCCACCCCACCCCCAACCCCCAACCCCACACCTCTGGCCTATACCTATTCTTGGATGCATAAATAAATCTCTTTAAAAAAAAATAAACTAGAAGACCTTAATCACATTCAGTATTCTTTATACTTTTAAGATACTTTTTTTTTTTTTTTTATTTATTTATACAAGCACTGGGCACAGTCAGAAGCACGGGATGGTGAGAGAGAACTCACCAGAGCCAGAGCAGGGAGCAGAGCAGGCAGAAGGACCGAAGTACACTGCTGAGGGGAGCAGCGGGGGACAGGAAAGGTCTGCGCGCCATGTGGGACCCTCCTCCAGTGGCCGGGGAGCAGCCGGGGATCGAATCAGCACTGCAGAGGCTGCGGGCAGCTTCGCAACCCAGCGCTCAACCACTGAGCCACCGGGGAGGCCCACTTTTAAGATACTTTTAAGTTTTGCTGCTAGTAATTTTGTTGAAGGACTTTATTTTTCAATAAACTATAACAAGAACCTTAACCATTTGAGTTTTTACTACATTGTCACTATCTTGTTTACATTCATCTTGATGATATGAGAAATGTTTAAATATTCAACTGTTTATTTTGTTTGCCTACACATTTTTTGGAGTAAGTTCAAGGTCATGGCATCATTGGAAACTCAATCTAGGCCATGGACTGTTGATTATATGGATCAGCCACCTTCATATAACTTGAGTTGTCTGCAAAGCAAATACTTTCCACTTCCTTTCATATTTTATTACTAATACACTTGGTGCCAGCCCTCTCCTTTATATATATATATATATATATATATATATATATATATATATTTAAAACCAGGTTTATTAGAAAAGCAAAGCACACTTGCATAGACACAAGCGGGCAGGAAGAGCCACCCCAGAAGGGACAGGTTTGCTAAGAGAAGCCTGCATGGTTGCAGGCAGGCAGCCTTGGCAGGTCACTGGCAGGCAGGAAGCTGCTTCCCTGCAGGAGAGAGTTGGTGAAAAGAGGCACCTGCGTAGTCACAGGTGGGCAGTGGGATTGCTGCCCCTCTCCTGTTTTATATAGTATTTGTTTCTTTTTTTCCAATGACAGCACAGCTGACCAAAAATATTATCTACCAGAAGTCTGAGTAAATTAGTCCTTCTTGCTGTACATTTCTTCATCCATTGCTGAGCAGCACTGTGAGACAACTTTATTAAAGCACATTCTTGCTTTGTTTCATATGTTTGGGAGTTTCTTCTAAATAAAAATAAAGTATAATGTAAAGCTTTGCTGCTGGTGGGAACACCAGTTATGCTTTTACTAACATACGATTCTAATAGGATGTATACTAAAAACTATTACTGTGAATTTGTTGGGTTTTATTCTTTTTAAATTTGTGCTGGGGGATACTGGAAGTGTCTACATCATAGAGCTTTTATATGGTTAAATAAGTTAATTTCACAAAATATTTAGAGCATAGTACACAGTAAGCTTTGAGAAATGTGATCTTTTTTCTATAAATGTGATTTTTTTTCTTTTATACTATATTGGACGGTCCTTTATGAAAATGCGGTAGCAGATGGAGAAATAATGAACTGAGAATGCTGCACGGAGCTTTTTGCCCTTTCCCCCTACTTCTCATCTTTTAAAAAAATATGCATAATATTTCTCAAGGA